AACCTGGGAAGTGTGGGTTATGTCATCTCAGACTCTCCCCTTTTCCCGAACACGTGGGGTCTTTTCACGGGCGAGTCCGCGTCGCTGCCTAAGTAGCAGGCTTTCGTCTGAGTCCCCCCCCCGTCGAGTGTACGGTTTCATGAGAAGGTGGTTTATAAAACAGGACACTTGCAAAAGGAAAAAGTCGCTGAAAAGAAATGTTTGCGTTTTGCTTCCAGGTACATACAATCCATTAGAACAGCAAAGGTACATCGGCCGACAGGGAAACAAGCGGACTCAACGTCAGCTGCAGCTTATTTGAAAGCAAAAGCAGTTGTAGCTGCTGTTCTCTCAGCGCCGGACATGTAGGAATGCGTGTTAACAAGTACCGTAAGAATAACAAGAACATCAAGTTACGTGCACATATTCCTGACATATTAAAGCCATCCATCACGGCACGTAATTGACAGTGTGTTTGCAGCTGGGGCTGCTGGCGGTTCTACAGGCTGTCCCGGGTTCCCTGGTTCCACGGGGCACAGGAGGAGAAAGAAGACGCCACCAAGCCTTCGGAGACGGTGGCAAAGCACCCAAAGGCTGCCATGCTGTGACCCCACCACCTCAGACAGGGCGAGGGGTGCGTGTGTGTGTGTGTGTGTGTGTGTGGGGGGGGGGGGGAGAGTGAAATGCCATGGGGAAGAGAGCGAGGGCGGGAGAAGGGAGTTTTCCTTCTCCTTGGATAGTGATTGATGTATTGTTTGTAAAAACCCACTGTTGTTTATCGGTGACTGACAGCCAGAGGGATGGGAGGCTATGAAATCTCAAGTAAATGTTCTTCAGCAAAAATGCACCGTGCACATTAAACTGTCTCTAAACAGGGCTCCGGAAGTCACCTGCGCACACGCACACTCTGACCTTTCCAGCCGGGCCGGCTCTCAGGCCCCTGGACACTCGCCTGCAGACTTTTCCCGGGGATGAGGCTTCTGAACGGCTCCGGGAGTTGACCTGTCCACTGTCACTTAGTTCAGCATGAGCAGGGCGAGCTGGGCGGCTGCTGGGGCACCCCGTGTGTGGCTGGGGGCTGCTGGGGTGCCCCTGTGTGTGGCTGGGGGGCTGCTGGGCGCCCCTGTGTGTGGCTGGGGGATGTGGGGCGCCCCTGTGTGTGGCTGGGGGATGTGGGGTGTTCCTGTGTGTGGCTGGGGGATGTGAGGCGCCCCTGTGTGTGGCTGGATGTGGGGCGCCCCTGTGTGTGGCTGGGGCTGATGGGGCGCCCCTGTGTGTGGCTGGCAGCTGATTTCCTCAGGAGCCAGGCTTCCTGAGCGGCCTGTCCAGCTGGGAGCCAGAGCTGGAGCCTCTCACAGAGCCAGAGCTGCGCAGTGTCCGTGGGGGGAAGGAGAGAGGAAGAGAAGGCCTGGCTCTGGGTCATCCCCGCAGGACCTGCCGGCCGTGTCCTTTGCCGTCGGTTCCCATCCAGATTTTTCGAAAACCAAGCTTCCCTTTTCATTGTTCAAATGAACAATGTGGGGCATCGTGGACTTCTCAAAAAGAGAAGGCATTTTTGTAAGTTGCAGATTTTAGCTGTAAATATGAGAGAGCCTGTTTTGAAAGATAGATTGGGTCCAGCCAGCATGGCTCAGTGGTTGAGCATCAACCTATGAACCAGGAGGTCAGGGCTCGATTCCTGGTTGGGGCACATGCCCAGGTTGCAGGCTCAATCCCTGGTGTTGGGCGTGCAGGAGGCAGCCGATCAATGAGTCTCTCTCATCATTGATGTCTCTCTCTCTTTCTCTCTCTCCCTCTCCTTTTTCTGAAATCAAACATGGGCTGTGTTTCCTCACACGTATGCCTTGCATCGTGTGTGTGTGTGTGTGTGTGTGTGTGTGTGTGTGTGTGTGTTTGAGGGCACCAGCTGCGGGGAAAATGAAGGATAACTTGAGAGATTTAGACGTCCAGTCCATTCTCCTAAATGTGTGATGCTCATTAATGTTTAAAAAGCAGCTAAGCCTTGTGTTATGTCCTACGAGAACCATTTGGGTTTCTCGTTAGGAAATAATACCCATGAGGGAAATGCCAGCTCTCTCAGTACTGACCGCAGTCCCTGGCCTGGGGACAGGAACCCACCCAGGTGCGCCGCCACCTGCCAGGTAGGGGGCACAGCCCCGAGTGACGCACTGCACCGCGGCGGTACCTGATGGCGTCCCAGGGCGTGTGGGGAGCTGAGCACGCTCTTCCCCTTTGAGACAGGCAGTTTCCCCTCAGGCCTCCCCTGCTGCCCTCTTTGTAATCTCTTCTCTGTCCGGACCTGGCACACCTGTGTCTCCTGTCCCAGGGCTGACCCAGTCTTCCTTGGGGGTCCATGGTGCGCCCCCTTTCTCTGCCCAGGGACCGTCACTGCTGCTTAGGCCACCGGAGGCCCCAGGCATCGAGCAGCTGGAGCGGCCAGGGCGGGAAGCCATTGCCCAGTTCTAAGCGGGCCTGATGTGAAAGATGAAATAGAGAAGGGCGGAGACCGGGATGGCAGGACACAGGCTTTATTGAAGAGAAGAATACCACTGCCGGCTGCTTCCGGAGAGAGAGCGGAAGAGAGCGAGGGCTGGGGTACAAGCACTTTTTAAGGGGAGGAGAGGGGACGGGGCTTAGGGCACTCAGCACACGCTGATGGTGGTTAGGGACCTAGGGACTTAGGAAGCGGGGGCTTAGGGTGTTTGGCAGGTGCTGATGGGTGGTTCAGCGCTCAGGAATGTCCGGCTACAGGTGGGGTTTACGTCTGTCTATCAACTGGAGGAAGGGAGGATCTATCCTGATGCTCATGCAACAGGCCTTTCCCGGAGGACAGGGCGACGGGATCTCTAAGCAGCACAGCCCTTCCCGCCCCCGCCCCGGAGCAGGCTCGGCCCGGGGATCCCGGGCTGAACTTGCCGCCGGCTTTCCTGCAGCAACCGCGTGGGATTTCACCGCCCGAAATTTATGTAACACGTTTCCCCTGTGGGCTCGGCTCAGAAAGATCTCTTTATTTTTACATGGATTTCGCTCTCGTAAGTCTTAGTGAACATGTTTTTCCAGGCCACAGCGAGTACTTCTGGGAAGGAGGGCGGTGAGTAATGTGAAGCTGGAATGGAGGCAGCGCATGAGCAGCCGCGGCCACAGAGGGGTCCTCCGTCACCCGCACAGCCAAGCAGCCCTGGCGAGGGGAGGAAGGCTCCTGTGTACATGGGGTGCCATCTGGGCGCGCGGCTCGCCCCAAGAGGATGGCATTGTGACACACACCTGACTGTATAGGTCTTCACGCCCTGGCAATTGGGACCAGCCCCTGACGTGGGCATCATTTCATTTCTTGTCACTTGTATATGAGCCCAGTGACAAGTTCAACCCTCTTCTTGCCCCCCCCCCCAAAAAAAAAGCCATTGATGGTGCAAGCGCCTATGACAGTGCTTTGAGGGATGGTGGAGTCTGTGGCAGTGAAGGCCAGATGCTGATTGTGGGGCGGTGGGCGGGGAGGGGGCGTGGCCATACCTGTGAGGAGGGGCTCCCTCCATCCCTGGCACCTGTAGGCTGCCTGCTTGTGGGCTGGCGCCTGGGTTCCTACCCGGGAAAACGGTGTCTTCAGGGCTTTCGCCGCCGGCCTGGGATTCCCTGTGCCCAGCTCCGTATGGCGTTCCCAAAACACTCCTTGGAGGAGAGGCTGAATGGCAATTCCATTTTCTTTCATTAGGAAGCCACGTCTGGCACAAAAACAGCAACAAACAAAACGCGCAGTCTCTCTGTTTCCCATAAAGATGGGGTCCTGTTTCGTTCTTTCATTTGTTTTCATGGTGGAAAGGCTAAAATCACTTCCCCATAAGAATTAGAGTCTATTTTTTGCCTCTCATGTTAGCGATCCCCACCCCTCCTTTTTCTTGGCTTCCCTAAGAAAAATGGAAGCACCCAGCCGGTGTGGCTCAGGGGTTAGGCACTGACCCAGGAACCAAGAGGTCTCGGTTCGATTCCCTGTCGGGGCACATGCCCGGGGTGCAGCTTGATCACCAGAAGGGGTCGTGCAGGAGGCAGCTGATGGATGATGTTCCTCTTTCATCTTTGTTTCTCTCTCTCTTTCCCTTTCCTCCCTCTGTTTAAAAAGCAATAAAAGCATTTTTTTTTAAAAAAAAAAAAAGGAAAAATGTAAGCGATTTGATAAGAAAAAAGAATGCAACGTTATAACAAAGCAGGCCTTGCCTACAAATGCAATGGCTGATGACCATAATTGTTGAAGTCCTTTTGGGTCAATGAATACTTATTTGTCTGATTATATCTAAGAGGAAGAAACATGAAATTATGTTCTGGGACCTCAGATACCTTCTCCCGTGGGTCTAATTCACAGGAAGTGAATGAAGCCACTGCCCACGGCAGGTACGTTTTGTGAGGCTGGAGGCTTAAGGAGCCATGTAAGAACAAGAATGCAAACATGTCTTCCTTTATCGCTTTTTATAATATAAAAACATATGGTCACGTGAACATACCACCCATGCCAGCGCGATCCCTGACGCTTACACTTTATTGGCTTCACAGGTCGTCCATGGCTGCGGGTCCCAGGTTGTCCTGTGTCCATCTGTACTGTACACGTGTGAATTTGCTACTCGCGTATAGGAGCACAGGAAATACAGGTCACAACTGTACAGGAACCAGATGGGAATATACAGGTATCAGTGTGAGAACACAAGATTACATTGTGGGTCTCAAACACACAAACACGCAAATGCAGCTTTCTGTCTTTGTCGAACTTCCACATTTCAAAGGCCTGCTTTGCCTCTGGAATAGCCGGTTTGCACTGAAAAGTTCCCTTTAAGAGGGAGTCAGTCAATTGAATACAAATCATTCATTCAGACCAGCTGACTCAAGCACTGGTCTCTGAATTGGACTCAGACTGAACAATTCCCTATTCTAGAAGCCAGGTGTGATGGGGGGGAGGGGCAGGAAGGAAGTAGGTGGGGGGAGGGAGCCCAGTGCCCGTGGGCAGAGCTCGGCCACACATTGATTTTTCGGGCAGCTCAGATACTGGTCTGGAGGTCTCCATTGAGGAGGGTTCTCTGGGTCTCCGTGGTCTCATTCAGCCGGGACTTGTCCTGCTTACTGTCACTCCGCTCCCCGTCGTCCGTGCCGCTCACCTTGACCAAGCAGAGGACGTTCTGGAAGCTCTTCTTGAAGTTGTCGGACAGGAAGGCGTACAGGATGGGGTTGGCACAGCTATTGGCGTAGGTGAGGATCACCACGAAGTCAAACATGCCCTTGAGGGCCGGCGTGGGGTCGATGGCCACGGACACGGAGGAGACGTTGAAGATGTAGAAGGGGAGCCAGCAGAAGATGAAGACGGCCACCACGATGGACACCATCCGGGTGACCTTCTTCTCCGACTTCTTCCTCTTGGAGGAGCCCACGCGGATCCCCGAGGACTTCACCTTGATGATGATGAACAGGTAGCAAAGACAGATGATGGTGAGGGGCACCAGGAACCCCAAGATGAAGGCGTAGATGATGAACCCCGTGTACCACGCCCCGGATTCGCCCGGCCAGTTAATGGTGCAGCTGCTCTTCCCCCACTGGTTGCTCCGGAGCCCGGCGTAGATCATGATGGGCAAGATGACCAGCAGAGAGAGTCCCCACACGGCCACGTTGATCATCTTGGCCGTCCGGGGTCTCCTCCACTTGGCCGACTTGATGGGGTGGACCACAGCCAGGTACCGGTCGATGCTCATGACCGTCAGGCAGAAGATGCTGGTGAACTGGTTGATGCCATCCACAGTCATGACCACCCGGCAGATGGCCTTGCCAAAGGGCCAGTGGACCAGCGCCACCTGCATGGCCAAGAAGGGCAGGCCCAGCATGAAGAGCTCATCGGCGATGGCCAGGTTGAGGATGTAAATGTTGGTGATGGTCTTCATCTTGGCGTAGCGGAGGATGACGTAAATGACCAGCGTGTTGCCACACAAGCCAACGATGCAGACCACGAAATAGATGAACGTGAGGACTGCATTGCTGGTCAGATCGTAGTACGGCTCCGTCTGGTTTGAGCCGTTGGCCGCCGCCACTGAGCCGTCGAGGTCGAATTGAGAGGAAAGCAGTGGTTGGCTGCCGTTGAGCAGGTCATAAGCCGTATCCATGGCTGCCTTGCAGGCTTACGCTCCTTCCAACCAGCCAGAGATCTTACTCTCACCTTAATGGGTCCTGGAGGCAGAGGGTCCACTGTGGCATCTGCAGGGGAAAAGGGAAGATTGGCTCATCAGTCAGAGGCCACAGAAACGCTCACCCGCTTCCCGAGTTCTGGTTTACCCTTGCAGACACACCCTGCAGCCGAAAGGCGCATTATCTTCCCCCATGGGCAGAGAGCTACCAGCACCGCCTCATCGGGGTGCAGAATGTTCGAGCTTTTCCAGTAGTGATGAAGAGCTGGGGTTAAGCTATCCTAGTTTATCTTGTCATCTCTGGTGACGCACATGTGGGGGATGACTGTGGCTGCAAACGAATGTCCTTTGATCCCTAAGAAAAGTTAACTGGTCCAAACTGAGAGAAGGCAGAGAGGTCAGACCCTGGCGCTCTTGGCCTTTTCCTGCGAGGAAATCTACCCGGACCTGCTGACTTATTCGGAGTTTTTCCATTCTGACAACCCAGCGTGGAAAAATCCCAGCCTTTGGAGGTAAAACAAACCAGGGTTCCACCATGGAGCCCATGGGACCCCCTGCCTTGTACTTAACTGTTCGAACTCTCATTTGTTAAAATGGGGATGCCATAAAGGTTAAAGGATGAAATGGATGTGAAAACGCCTAGCATTGTACTGGGCTTATAATCGGAGCTCAGTAATTGTTATCCCCCTCCCCCCTACTTCCCCTCTATCATCTCATTTATCTCTAATGTGTTGAAATCTGCCTCCATCATGAACCCATGTATAGTCTTAAGTGTTAAATAAAAATCTGGCTGGCTTTCCTTTTAAAAATGTATGCTTTAGTTTATTTTTGTTTCTCTAATACCCTATGTCTAGGAGAACTCTTTTATAAAGTTCTCCCCCAATGGAATGTTCCAGAATGCTTCCCTTCTCAAACCCCAGAAAATTTGCCAAAAACAGGAGCCACATTCATTCTCAGACTTGAAGAGGAGGTTCCAAACACTGATGTAGATCATTCACACCCCCTTGATCTCCCCAGCCATCCTTGGAGGTGGGGGGTATTCATTCCATTTTACAGATGAGGAAACTGAGACTTAGAGAGTTTAAGTGACTTGCTCCCTTAATCGGTTGGGGCTGGGATCTGAACACAGGATACCCACGTCTTCTGCACTTTTACTCCCCTTTTCCTTCTCCAAGCTGAGAAAATGTTACCATTGGCTTGGCCTAAGGTATAAACCATAGCTCATCACATAATTCAACAATCTATCTGCAGTCATTCAGAAACCACGACTGGGGGCTTCTTTATTCTGGACACCAGGGTTGAACAGGACATAGCTGGTGCCGCTAGGGGGTGATCATTTAGGAGGAGAGACAGGGAAAGAAGCCAGCTCATACAGGGTGAGACTTGAATTGAGGTAGGAACAAAGGATTGAAGAATGCCTTCTGCTTCTGGAGAGTTCCGAGGGGGCTGTGTCAGGAGAATGCTTGCGTGGGGTCCTGGATATATGAAGAGGGAGGGAAGGTGGTAAAAGGATGGCATTGTTCAGCACTGAGTGGGAATAGTTCACTTGGTGGACACATCTCCACCGAGCAGGGCACTTTTCCTGCCTGAGTGAAGACTGAAGATTGCTCCTTTGCCCGGCTGGCATGACTCAGTGGCTGAGCGTTGATCTATGAACCAGGAGGTGACTGTTCCATTCCCGGTCAGGGCACAGGCCTGGGTTGTGGGCTCTATCCCCAGTAGGGGGCGTGCAGGAGGCAGCCAATCAGTGATTCTCTCTCATCATTGATGTTTCTATCTCTCTCCCTCTCCTTCTCGCCAAAATTAAATATATATATATATATATATATATATATATATATATATATATATATACTGAAGAGAAAGCTTACTCCTTTATGCGTGGAGGGACTCCTGATGACTTAAAGGGGACATAGTTGGGAGATCCTGTCCACTTCTGCCTTGGACCCTCCGTGCGGTCCAGGCGCATTGCGTCTCTGTCCTGTGCTCATGTCCCTACCACACAACTCTCTAAGCCGTGGTCTGGGCTTCGTGGCTGGCCTCTCTGCCCAGAACTGGGGGGACGACCTTGGATGTTGTGTCTGCATTGGGTAAAAAGCATCAGTATTAAACACGGGAGCTGTGAAGAACCCATTTTCCTATCCCTGGATAAACGTGGGTTATTTCCACCGCCATTTCTAATCTCCTTGTCAGGTATTTTAATTCCACAGACCCTGTGTACCGGCCAGCCTTGGAGCATCATTAATCACTAGCATGTCCAGGGTCCCGTCTGCGTCACGTGCCCAGTCACGCCCCCACGTCTGGGTCAGACCGAAGACCTGGTGCTTTGGGACAGGGGTGCTGCTGGTGCAGACGTGGGAGGGAGGGGAGTGCTGCCCTCCAGCCCCAACTGCCTTTGTGGGCAACGTCTCCCTCAGTCCGGGGCAGTTCTTTGTTTTGCTTCTGAAATGGACTGAGACATTGAGGAGAGCAGTGGGCAGGGTGCAGAGCCTGGAGAGGTGGCGGAGAGCCGGGGAGCCGGGCCAGGGCGGGAGAGCGCCTCCAAAGAAGGCAAAGGTTTAAATCACCGTGACTCTCACTTCGCGGACAGTAAAGCCCCTGGCCTGTGGCCTGCGAGTGCCGGCTGCGTCACTGCAGGTGGAGTCCAGGGCCAGGCAGGCAGCGCCCGGGGCTTTGTGCTCCAGCCAAATGCACAGGAAGTTTGATTTGGTGCTTTCTGATGTTTCCAGCCCAGAATCCTGAGACGCTGGAAATGGCTGGCTGCTGGTTTCCTCGGACACCGAGTCCTGGCTCTGTTGGGGGGCAGGTTAGAATGGCCTCAGGCCTCCCCTCCCCTTCCCCGGTTACCAGCCTAGGAGCTGGCCATTGGGATGGAGACCAGCATGTGTGTGCGTGCGTGTGCGTGCGTGCGTGTGCGTATGTGTGATCCCCAATTCTACTGAGCTTCAGTTTTTTCTTTCTCACCAATATCGTTTCTTCATTCAGCCCCACCCCAGTTCCCCTGGGGCCTGCTAAACCCCCGTGGATCCGGGTTGGCTGGGGCCTCACAGGGAGAGACTCTCCCCAAGTGCCAAGAGCACGCTGTCTGGCCACGCTAGGGGAGGGAGCCCCGAAAAACAGGCGGCGCTGGCCGAAGGACTGGGGAGAGCGCGTCTAGGGACAGAGGCTGGTTCCGGCGCTCGCCCAGAAAACCATCCGCGCCCCCCACCCCCTGCGCTGACCTCAGACCCCGGGTTTCCTAGAGGATCCCCTGTGTTTCCAGGGGGACACGGGGAACTGAGGGCGATCCTGCTGGGAGCCCCCAGGTCTGTCTGCGAAGCGGGGCGGAGCAGGGAGCGCTCTCCGCCAGGGAAGCGGCCCCAGACCATCAGGCGTGCATCGGCCAGGCCGGGAGAGGAGCCCCAGAGAGCAGCCCCCCTCTGCTCTGCCAGCTGTCCTCATGGGCTCGGATCTCAGGGTGCACGCCCACAGGCACCCCGGCAGTGCCCCCACCCCTGCCGCTAGCTTGCCTTCCTCCCTTGCGATCCTTTTAAAGGCGCTGGGAGGCAAGTTGTCCCATCGCACCCGCTACCTGGACGCTCGGCCGGGGGACGGAGGCTGGATCGGGGATCAAGCCACTCTTACTGGCTGCTGTGCAGCCACGTCGGTCCCAGCACTGGCGGTCCCGGCCCCGCACTCACGCCGGGGACACTCGCAGGCATTCGTTCCCCTCCACCCGCCCTAAGTGGCCTCAGGACGGGAGCTGCGGGGAGCTGCGCGCTGGGACCCGCACGCCGGCCATCCAGGTGCGCACTGCATGCAGCGCAGATGCACCCGCTGCCTCTCTCTCTCTCTCTCTCTCTCTCTCTCTCTCTCTCACACACACACACACACACACACACACACACACACACACACACACACAGGAAAACCTCACCTTTGCTTTCCCGCTGCAATCCCGCAATCCGCCAGCTCGGCTTGCCGGCACCTGGCGGCTGTCCCCAGCCCAGCCGGGCCGAGCGCACAGCAGCTCAGCGGGCACCCCGCACCGGGCGCCCCACCTGCAGGCTCCCGCTCCCGCCTCGCTCCAAGGGGAGCTGCTAGCGGGGCGCAGACCGCCAGCGCCGCTCCGGCTCCGCTCCGCTCGGGCGCCGGCGGCTGTGTGGCCGGGACTGGCCTGCGGAGCCGGAGCCCCTCACACAGTCCCCACGCCCCCCTGACGTCACGCGGCTTCGCCCCGCCCGTCGGGTCCTGTGGGAGGACGGGGTGCGCCGAGCCGAGGATCTGCCGGTGGCGGTGGAGGTGGCAGGCTGGCACAGCTCATAGGCATGGGGCGCGGGCTGGGGAGCGGGCAGGGGGGCTGCATGCAGGGTGAGAGGGGAAGGTCCAGCGATGTCAGTCGGCCTCCCCAGGGCTCTGCCTTCCCTCCGATTTCACAGAACCTGTGCTGTGTCGCCAGCCTGTTCCAGGCAGCTGGGTGGCACCGGGGTAACCCAGGAGCACCTCTCCGCCGGACCAGTGTGCAGAGCTGTGTCCACTGCGGGCCATCCCAGGGCCCTGGCGCCAGGCCCGGGAAGGACAGGGAGACACGGGTCCCGGGGGAAGCTCTCCTCCCTGCAGTGGCCAGCGCCCCTCTGCCGTGTGCGAGCACTCAGCTCCCACGCTGCAGGCGGGGCACAGGCTCATCCGGCCGTCCCGCCTCCACAGGGCCTGTCCGGCTCAGGCTCCACACGGCCGGCAGGCGGTGGCCGCACAGCTGTCCCCTCAGCGGCACCCGCTGGTCCCAGCAGCACGGCCCCTCCTCCCCCCCGCTGAGAGGGAGCACAGGGAAAGCAGCAAGAAGTGGGAGGCATGGCGCATCCAGTTGCAGCTGTTTATTTTTTGACTGTGATGATTCAGCCTCTGTTCCAATAGTTTAATAAGTCATAATCAGTCCACAGCCTCTCTGTTCTCACCGCCCTCCACGGACACGGACACACACCCTCACACACGCGCGCCCG